AAGGTTCCCAAAAGCGTTAGTCCATGGCTGGTCTGCTTGCTTCCCCGCATGGTCCTGCCGTTTGGTCTCGCCCAACTTGTAAGCTGTGGGCCGCAGAGCCCGGCAGATTCTATCTAAAGTATGAAATTTCTTACTTCCACTATAAGTTCCACTAGCTATAAGCCTTCAAACTTTTTAAATATTCCTAGATATGTGGTTTAGAGTTTTGGAGCTCTGCCCTAAACCTGCTTTGCCTGGTATTCTGTGGTATTGCTGATGGAGAACTTCTCTGCACCTCTACCCTATCTGCCATCAAGCCCGGCATTTCCCATATTTATTTTTTACATATAACTAGAAAATGTGTTAAGTGCTTTCTTAGAGTTATATGCAAATAACTAATTAAGGATGTGTTGCAATGTTGAAAACTTAACCAATCTAGAATTATTTTAACACATAATTACATAAAGAGGATCACATAACATTGGAAAACTCGATTTGCTTAGTTCAATTTATGTTTCAAATATGGGCATTTGTAATAGAACCCATAATTGCATATATTTTGGATAGCTGAGTTTAAACATCAAAAAGAAACAAAAAAAATTTATTTTAAGCACAAAAAACAATGGCATCAGCTTTTGAATAGTTCCATATTTACATTTGTTTTTAATCTTTTTAATTTTTGTTTGTTTGTTTAATTAAGCATCCTCAGTGGTAGCAGTTAATAAAAGTACTTTGTGGCTCAACTTTGGCTGCACATCAGAATCATCTGTGAAAAACTATAGGTGCCAGAGTCCCACCCCCACCCATTAAATCAGAATTTTCAAGGATGTAGGCTAGTTAACTACAATTTTCTAAAGTTTCAAAGGTAATTCTCTTGAGAACAAGGGTGGAGAACACTGAGAATCAAAATATTAAAAGAAAATAATTATAATTTCACAGAATTTAGGGCTCAATATTCATTCAAACAACACATTTAAGTGCCTACAATGTACCTGATGGTACTGTAGGCTAATGCAGTGGACTGCAAAGTCGGTTTGAACTGCAAAGTTGGTGGTTCAAGCTCACTAGCCTCTTCTTGGAAACCCTGTACAGGTTAGCTATGAGTCGGAGACAACTCGAAGGCACTCAACAACAAACAACAACAATGTATCAGGCACTGTGTTCAGGAAATATAAATATATAAAAAGTAGTATTGTTCCTACAAAATGTTTACACTGTAGAAGCAGAAAGCACATATATGTAAAGTAGAAGAAAATACTATTGGATAAGGGGAGTCCTAGTGTGGTGCTGTGGGTTAATTTGCTAGACTGCAAAGTCATTTGAACTGCAAGGTTAGTGGTTCAAGCTCACCAGCCACTCCTTGGAAACCCTATACTGGGTCTCTATGGGTCTGAACCAACTCGACGGCACTTAACAACAACAACAACTAGATAAGGAGTCTGGGTGTGGTGCTATAGCATAAGAACTGGGTTGCTAACCAAAAGGTCAGTGGTTCAAATACACCACCCACTCCTGGGAAACTATACTGGGTTGCTATGAGTCGGAATTGGCTCAAAGGCACTTAACAACAACAATTAATTGAAAAATTAAGGAGACCTGGTAGTGCAGTGGTAAATAGATTGGATGCTAGCTGAAAGGTTTGTGGATCAAACCCACCAGTCATTCCAAAGGAGAAAGATGTAGCAGTTGACTTTCATAAAGATTTCTGCCTTAGAACCTCCCTGGGAGTTCTACTCTGTCCTCTAGAATCATGAGTTGAAACTGACTCAACAACAACAGGTTTTGGATAAGATAGGAGAAACACCAACTTGGATAATCAGAGAAAGTATCCCAGAGAAGATGTCTGAAGTAAACATTGAAAGAGGTTAGGGAGAAAGGAAGAAGAAGAAGAAAATGGCTACTGGTAGCCCTCACTTATGGACATGATTTGACACTGCGATGTCTTTAAGTAAGGAGCTCTGGTAGCGTAGGGGTTATGAATCGGGCTGTGAACCACAAGGTCAGCAGTTCGAAACTACCAGCTGTTCCGTGGGAGAAAGATGAGGCTTTCTGTTCCTGTAAAGATTTACAGCCTCAGAAATCCTGTACAGGATCGCTATGAGTCAGAACTGACTCCACGACACATAACAACAACAACATTTCTTTAAGTAGAAATTGTAGGTATGACAGAAAAGGTGCATATAAGTTCTTATTTAGCCTAATTTTAGTACAGAGCATCGAACCAGTTTATTCTGGTTTGACCCCCGGCTGAGAATATGCATTTCTACTCCAGATATACTGAATCCAAATCTACATTTTAATAAGAGCCCCAGGTGATTCTTATGCATGTTATACAGTGTCTCTGAATCCGTTCTGATTCACTGAAACCCTGTATAGGGTTTTTGGGGAGCTGCTAGTGGGTTTGAATTGCCAACCATGTGGTTAGCAAACCAGTACTTATTCTACAGGATTCTTAGTCTACAGACCAGTGCTTATTCTACACCAGGATTCCTTTCTTATGTATACATCTTGTTAAAATGTAGATTCTAGTTGAGTATATCTAGAGAAATACAAATTTTCAGTAAGGGACAAACTACAATGAACTGGTTTGAAGCCATACTTTAATGCAATAAGTCTTTTCAATGATTTAAAAGTTGCACATGTAGCAAGTGATCATGACTGTGATGACCAATTTGTTGCTAATAAGGGTTGGTTTAATCATTTCAAGGTGAGGGCAAATTTACATAATTTTAAAGGGCAAGTATGAATTGTTCGTAAATCAGACATTTGTAACCCAGGGACTGCCTACATTCATTCATAGATTAAACTTTAAGAGATAGCTCAATTCAATCAATATTCATAAAGGTCTTACTTTATGACTTACCAATACTAGCTTCAAGTTGCTCAAAGAGATTCATGTTACCTGTGCAGAATTCTGGAGTTACATATACAATGCGATATTTGCCTCTGTTTTAAAAAAAACAAAACAAAAAACACTGGAAAGGAAGTACACAACAAATACAATAAGAAAACAATCACCTCAGTGAATTATAACCTAAAATCTGATAAATTATAACCTAAAATATCTGATAAAAATTTAAATACCACATTATGTCACTTTCTAAGAACTAAATCTGTGTGTGTATATATAGTTTCTTTAGCATATTAAAATACAAAGTGACAATGCCTACCAGAAGTATTCAGCACTAAAGTGACATTAGAAGTCAGATTCAGACCTCCAGCAATCTGGCCTGAAAAGTACTTGAGTCACATCAAGTCAACAATCTTTTTGTTGTTATCATTCCACTCACATTCCATTCCCTCTGTCTGAGACCGATAATCTCCTCTCCCCTCATTCTTCCATGATGAAACCCACAGTTCCCATGTTTGGCCTATTTCTGCCCTCTTTCCTAGAACTTATTTGATATACACTCTATCAAAGTCAAACCAATTAGATTCTCTGTCCTGAATCTGAAGGTCAAAGAAACAACCAGTCATTCTCTGCATGTTCCAAGACCTGTAGCAGGTAAAATAAAAACAGACTTGCAGAACAGTCATCTTCTGTTCTGTTACTAGAAAAGCAGAGGATGCTTATCGCTTCAGAAAGAAGAATGAGGAGACTTACAGAAGCTACTGATAATAAGGAAGCCCTATTGGATTTTCAATACCCAATTCCAGCATTCCCTAAAGGTTGGTTAACTTCTTTAGAGTGGCATCCATGGAACATTCCTGTACCCTTGAGTTGATTTCTATTCTGGGCAGAAAAAAATTCTTATTGAAAATAATGTCTATAATAAAGGGCAGGATGAAGGCAAAATACTCCTATACGGAAAATCTCTTTTGCATTCCATCAAAAAAAGACATAAATTAAATGAAATAAAAAGAAACTAAATTTTTTATGTTAAAAAGCTACAATATTTCATTAATTCAGTTAACAAATATTTGATTGCCTATTGTGTACTATGCATTGTGCTTTCACTCGAAATCAACTATTAAAACAAAACAGAAATACTCTTATCCTCATGAAATTAATACAATAGAGCAATTAGTATAAGAAACAGTATAAATAATAAGCTCTGACATCATACCTTCCAGGTTTAGATCTCAAGCTAAATGATCTTCAGCACGTCACTTAACATCAATGTGTCTCAGTTTCTCCAGTATAAAATAATGGTAATAGTTGTAAAGCTACTAATTATTTATTATCTCTAGATCTAGATAACCCTTATCAAAATCCCTATACGTCATTTTGGTTAAAAACAAGATTTTGAAATACTTATGCCAAAATTTTTAAAAGCCTAGAACAGACAAAGCAACTTTTAGAGAAAAGAACAAAATTGAAGGACTTCCTCTACTTGAGTAGTAAGGCACTAATTCAGATAAATGGATCAACAGAATATAATTCTAAGCCCAGAAATAGATCCATATCTATATATATACATATATATGTTGTTGTTAAGGGCCGTCGAGTCGGTTCCAACCCATAGCGACCCTGAACAGGATTTCCGAGGCTATAAATCTCTACGGGAGCAGAAAGCCTCATCTTTCTCCCGCGGAGCAGCTGGTGGTTTCAAACTGCTGACCTTGCGCTTCACAACCCGATTCGTAACCTCTACGCTACCAGAACTCCTTACAGTTGATTTATTTTTAACAGTGCAAAGGCAATTCAGTGGCTAAAACACAGTCTTTGAAACAAATGGAGCTGGAACAACTGGACATCCATATGTTAAAAAAAATTTAAGCTGCAATCAATACTTCTCACAATACATAAAATTTACTCAAACAGATGATAATATAAATGTAACTAACACTTTTAGGAGACAACACAAAAGAATGTCTTTGTGATCCTGGGGTAACTAAAGATTTCTTACATTAAACACCAAAAGTATAATCTATAAAAGACTACTCAACATAATTGCTATCTGGACTGACAGTGAGGGTTGGAAATATAAAGATAAAGGTAGAAGTTTTATAACAAAAGGAGGGATGTGATTGATTTTGCAGTCCAGGAGCGGAGGTCCCTAGGACCATCAAGTGAGGAGAGCAGAGTGCAGGACCCTACCCAGAGAAGCAGTGACACCAGAAATGGCGGCAGAGGCAATGACATGGACAGATGGAGCAGCTGGGGACACTGGACTCAGTGAGGGAGAGGGGCTGTGTGCTGACGGCCGGGGGGCAGGCCTGTGGGGCATACCTTTTGGTTGTTTGATGATGCATAGAGGGGATTGTAATCATTGCAATGAAATGAAATATGATAGGATGAATGTAAAGCTAGTGTTCTCCCATGTAAGCCCACATAATTTACAATAAAAACTTTAAAAATTAAAAAAAAAAAGACTATTCAACATACAGGACTTCATCAAACCAAAAAACTACTACTCTTTAAAAGACACGATTAAGACAACAAAAAAAGAAGCAATTAGTTCAGTTGGAAGGGAAAAATATTTACACAGATACAGATACATACAGATAAAAGATTAGTATCCAGCTGTTCCACGGGAGAAAGATGAAGCTTTCTGCTCCCGTAAAGATTTACAGCCTGGAAATCCTATACAGGGTCGCTACGAGTCGGAACCAACTCCACGGCACATAACCACCACCACCAACAACAACACCAGCATATAAGTTGCAATCCAAGCTCAAGAAGGAAGGAGAGAAAAAAACATGTAGGAGAGGGCAAAATATCTGCCAAGAGATAATTCATTTAAAAAGATATACAAATGGCCAACAACTCTACAAAAATATGTTCAACATAATTAGCCATTGTTGTGTGTCGTTGAATTGATTCCAACTTATAGCAACCCTGTTTTCAAGGTTGCTCCTTAGGGGAGCAGAAAGCCTCATCTTTCTCCTATGGAGCAACTGGTGAATTTGAACTGCTGACCCTGTGGTTAGCAACCCAATGCATAACCCATTATTCCTCCAGTCCCCATAATTAGACATTGGTAGTGGTAATGGTTTTAAGCAGGTTCCAACCCATAGCAATGCTGTATAAGGTTTCTGAGGCTGCAAATCATGAGAAAAAAAAAGCCTCATCTCTCTCCTGAAAAACAATTGGTAGATTCAAACTATTGACCTTGCAGTTAGTAGCCTAGCTTGTAATCCACTATGCTACCAAGGATCCTTAATTAGCCATTAAAGAAATGAAAAATTAAAACCACAATGTGATAAAACTATACATCCATATGCCTATCAGTTCCACTTATACCGAGCCTATGTACAACACAACAAAAAACTACCTGGTCCTTTGCCATCCTCACAATCATCCCTTTGCTTGGCCTCATTGCTGCAGTTACTTTGTCAATCCATCTTGTTGACAGTGTTTCTCTTTTTCAATGACCTTCTACTTTACCAAATATGATGTCCTTCTGCAGGGACAGATCCCTCCTGATAATATATCCAAAGTATGTGAGATAAAGTCTCATCATCCTCACTTCTATGGAGCACTCAGGCTATACTTCTTCCAAGACAAATTTGCTTGAGTTCCTCTGGCAGTACATGATATATTTAATTATTCTCTGCCAATACCACAATTCAAAGACACCAATTCCTTCATCTTCCTTACTCACTGTCCAGCTTTCATAAGCACATGAGGCAACTGAAAATACCTCGACTTGAGTCAGGCACAAGCGATTCTTCAAATTGACATCTTTGCTCTTTAAAACTTTAGAGATCTTTTGTAACAGATTTGCCCAATGCAACACATCATTTGATTTCCTGACTGCTGCTTCCATGAGGAGCACTGACTATGGATTCAAGTAAAATGAAATCCTTGGCAACTTCAATCTTTTCTCCATTTATTACAATGTTGCTTATTGATCTAGTTAGGAGGATGTTTTTCTTTTCTTTATGTTAAGATGTAATCCATGCTGAAAGGTGTAGTCCATGATCCTCATCAATTAGTGCTTCAAGTTCTCTTTGCTTTCAGCAAGCAAGGTTGTGTCACCTGCAAATCGTAATTTGTTAATGAGGCTTCCTTAATACTGATGTTGTGTTCTTCTTCATATAGCCCAGCTTCTCGGATTATCTGTTCAGTATATACAATGAAAAAGTATGGTAAAAGGATACAACTTTGATGCACCCCTTTCCTGATTTCAAACAGAAGAGGATACCGCATAGTTCAGTAGCCTCATGGTCTATGTACAGGTTCCACATGAGCACAAATTAAGTGTTCTGGAAATCCCACTCTAAGCATTGTTATCCAGAGTTTGTCATGATCCACATAGCTGAATACCTTTGCATAGTCAATAATACAAAGTAAACATCTTCCCAATTTTCTCTTTCACCAAAGATCTGTATGATATCAACAATAATATCCATCATTCCACATCTTGTTCTAAATCTGGTTTCAATTGCTGGCAACTCCCTAATGATGTACTGCTACAACCATTTTTAAATTATCTTCAGCAAACTTTTAATTGCATATGATATTAATGAAATTCTTTGACAATTTCCATGTTCCATTATATCACCTTTCAGGAGGAATGGGCACAAATATGTATCTCTTTCAGTAGGCTGACCAAGTAGCTGGCTTCCAAATTTCTAGGCATAGATGAGTGAACACCTCCAGTTCTGAATCCACTTACTGAAACATTTCAAATGATATTCAGTCACTTCCTAAAGCCTTGTTTCTTGCCAATGCCTTCAGTGCAGGTTTGGATTTCTTCCTTCAACATCACCAGTTCTCTACCTGCTAACATGACTGAAGGCTGACTAACCCTTTTTGAAGCCATGACTGTATTATTTCCATCTTCTACTGATGCTTCCTGTGTAAATGCAATATTTTGCACATTGTTATTGTTCTTAGGTGCTATTGAATCGGTATCTACTTATAGGAAACCTATGCACAATAGAACGAACCACTGCCTGGTCTTTTGCCAACCTCACAATTGTTGCTACATTTGATCCCATTACTGCTGCCACTGTGACAATCCATTTTGTTGGTAGTCTTCTTTTTCTCTGATCTT